GCGCGCCATCTATTCCGATAAATTGGCAGCCATTGACGGCTCCTGATCGGAAACTGAGTGGCAATACTCCGGCTCCAACGCCGTGGATAACACTTTCCCTTTCTGCTTTGTTGCCGCTTGCCCGATCAGCACACTGAAAAAAACTCCGGCCGTGGAAGCCGTACTTACGGGTTGTAAAGGCATACCGTCCTAGAGTACCTGTATAGCGAGAGTATAGACAGATGTGAAACTCCGAAAATCCATCAGGCCTTCACCAATGTCTCCGCGAATGAAGTTAGGGCCCAGAAATACAGCCAACCTATGAATCTCAATTATCCAGAGCGCTTCACTAATACAATTGTTACGAGCCATCGTTTATAAAGCACGTATTTGACTTACTTGTTGCATAAATTTACTCATTTTTGCGGAAGAACGCTCATTTATGTACATTCTTAGCCATCTTGGTTAGAATTGGAATGTACAGACTGGCAGTGAAATTTTGTGCGTTAGAAGTTGGTTAGAAGGGTGGCTGCACTTTTGGGCCCTAAGCCCTCCATGAAGCGATCTGTCCATACTCTCGCTATATAGGTACTCTATACCGTCCGCGTTCCGGGCTCGGAGGCCCTAAGTTCCAGGCGTAGCAGTCGAAGCTACGGCTCCAGCACCCGGAACTTTCGGCTTCTGCGCCCAGAACGGACGGTATGTTTAGACAGCCAGTAACTTTTTCTTTCAGTGCAACAGCATCTATACTTCAGCATGAATCGAAAGTCCGTTCATGTGACTGAGCACTAAAAAAAATTTTTCTTGAGATATTATTTTGACTTCGTTTCTTGTCGACAAAATTTGGTTTCTTTAGTTAAATCCGTGCGCATGTAACTTGATTTTTTTTCAGTTAAAAAAGCGTCGTTACGCTAGCGTTAAGTTTAAGTTAAAATAAAGATACCAAAACAACGTTTCTTTAACTTTAAAAAACTAGACTTCAGACGGATTTGACTAAAAGAACCTGATTCTTTAGTCAAAATAATAACTCAGGAAATTATTTTTTTCAATGAGATTCCTTTCTCCATCCGTGCACCGATCGTTCTTCAAAAGGTATCGCCTCCTTTCCTTACGAAGGGATATCCTAACCTACCAGATCTTTTAACCGAGTAGTGCCCCTTAGCTGGAACAGAGACAACCACGCTTCTGGAGCAGATGCTGGTAATGGAGCGATGGCTCCGAGTTAGCTGCTACTCGTGCATGACGTTTTGACGCCGATCTGCACCACTTTGCGCCACAATACACGGCTCATTACTCCGATATTTACTTACAAACGGCGAAAGCGAACAAATCAACTCAATGCGCGCTACCTACTCGCCCATCGCAAAACGCTTCCGCGGCCCGTGATAGAAGCGCCAGCAGTGCCGGACAAAAAAAAGCGAAAGAAAGGGGATACGATTTTATTACTTGCGGAGCTTAATGACAAAGCTCGGGATACTTCGCACTGCGATTTTTCCTTCTGTTAGCTTTTCCCCCTTTTCGTTCTTTTCTTTACGACATGACTCATCTCTGAAATGAATTAAGGCTTGATTTAGTAGACTTCTGGTATTGTACCATGCAGCGTCCACAAATTTTGGAAATTCCACGGGAGGAAAGTTATGTCCATTTTCTTTTTTCATTTTCAGATACTTCAGATCAAATCGCAAATCTAATTCTTTGAACATTCAAAGAAATATATTCACAAATTACTAAGATAATTTTTGCTTAATGGAATCAAATTTTGCAACGTCCGAAGGCACATTAGACGTTCTTTCTTCGCACGGCAGAACCGTGTAAGTCTGGTGGAGATTCTTGACGATTGACAACACTGTTTTTCCTGCATTTAAATCCATCGAAAATATCGATTTTCGGCGAGGCAAGCTGTCTCACCAAGAATCGATTATTTTACACACACTTAAATGGACGAAAAACAGTTTTGCCAGCTTTCGCCAATCGCCACTGTGTAATTCAGGCTCCGTAGATTAGAAAAAGCCATGAATTACAAAAATCAAGGCCGGATTTAGGATTTCTAACCCTACAGTCGCAATATGTGGAGTAAGCATACCTTAAATTTGAAAATGCGTGTTACAAACTACGCAGATTGCGCGCTCATGAGTCGATTTCAGACTTTTCTGATAAGCCCGAAGTAATTTTCAATCAAATCCACTCTTACAGGGTGTATTTGGTAGGCTATATCTCTTGCGTGCACTGGGAGAAAAACACATTGGATCAAGAGTCCAGACTCTTGAAAACATTGACAGGAAAAAGGACTCTTGATTCAATCAGATTTAAGCTTAAAGCAAAAGGAAATCCGCTCAAATTAAGAGGCTTGGCTGTTGATTTAAGCTTAAATCCGATTGAATCAAGAGTATTTTTTGTTGTCGATGTTTTTAAGAGTCTGGACTCTAGATCCAATGTGTTTTTTTCCAGTGTAATTTCGTGTTCAGTTTACTTGGTAGTTTCCACTTAAACATGATATTCATTAAATTTCAGACACATGCAAATTCTCCATTATTTATTCAATTTTTAAATCAGTTCAATCAGATTTAAGCTTAAAGCAAAAGGAAATCCGCTCAAATTAAGAGGCTTGGCTCTTGATTCAAGCTTAAATCTGATTGAATCAAGAGTATTTTTTCTTGTCGATGTTTTTAAGAGTCTGGACTCTAGATCCAATGTGTTTTTTCCCAGTGGGCGATAGACCCATTTCATCTGGAATACGAGGTCACTTTTGACAGATACCATAACATCTGAATGTGAAACAAAATTGACGGTGAACTTACTTTTGGGCTACGACTTGGGTTTGCTCCTCGGGGGAGGGGAGCCGGTGCTCGATGGTGTCAACGGTGTCCTCGGTGGAGATCTTGTTGGTGCAGTCGGGGTCCACGGTCATGTCCCCGAGAGCCTCCGAGGAGGTCCACGCCCGGAGTCCGGAGAGGGCGGCCGGCTGAAACAGACAAAATTAAATGGGACTCAGTCACACGCACACGCACACAGACACAGGGCCCAGAAGAAACAGAACAGAAAACGCGAATGTTACGCTTGTGCCCGCCAACGCGGAAGTATTGAATTATGTTTTCGCCGCTATCACTCTACTCCATACGCCACTCCACGGCTCGACGTATTTCTGCCGAGTGGAACTAAGTGCATTATGACGTGAGCCCTGTCATTCATACATTCTTATGGGTCTCAGGGCTCATGTTTTCATGCATATAGTTCCGCTTGACAGAAATACGGCCAACTGGTCCACATGCTCACTCAGCCGGCCATGCGTTGCGCATTGATATAAGGTCACGCCTTCATCTCTGCATGCATATTCTCGGTATCCCATGACTACGAACATATGGAAAAACGCCGCATGAGCCTTCAGGAGTTGCCAAATTTCCCATTGTAAAACGTTGATTTTGGAGGAAAGTCATGAAACGTCGTTTCCTGAACGAAGGAACGTAACTACAAATCAATGTTGCCAAATTTCCCTTCGTAAATTGCATTTTAACCAGAAAAATCTTGGGCATTTCTAACTGAAAATTTCACTGATTTTTCTTCAGATTTCATGCAAAAATCAGACAAATTTGGATAAAAATTGCACACTTACATTTTTTTAAAATAAATTCATTGTTGGAGTCAATTTGGCAACCTTGGATTGGAGTTACGTTCCTTCGTGCGGGAGACGACGGAATATTGCTCCTTGAAATTTTCACATACTTTGAATCAAAGTGAAAAAAAAAATCAGAGTGAGATTCTGAAAAATTGGAGAAAAATTATCCAACAGCTACCTTCAAAATTTGTATTTTATCGGAGGAAACTTGGCAACGCCTAATGGCTTATACGGCGTTTCTCCTGAGCATGGTAGACTGGAAAGAGGAGCTGGGTCCAGAGATGCTGAGCGCACACTTCGTGGACGTTAAGTTGAAAGCAGTGGCGTGGCGTGAATTAGCGATGTATCGATTGTTCTGCCATTTAAACCTATGGTAAAGAATCGATTATTAAGGTGTTCGCTGCGAACACCCTGTTTATCGATCTTTTTCCATAGGTTTAAATGGTATAACAATCGATTTATTGCAAAGCACGCCACGCCACTGGTTGAAAGGTGAACGAGGTCGGCTTACCTACGATATTTGGAAGACATCGCCTCGAATATGCAAGGGAGAACGGAATTTATAGTTCCCAGTGAGTTATACAGTGTCATCCAAAAGTTCCGCGCACAACCTTTTCTTAAAACTCTAAGGGCTAAAATTCGTGGGGCCTCAAAAACAGTATTCTGTCATCCGGGTGGATTCACAAAATGTCAAAGCTCCATCTCAAATTGTTCAAAAGTTACAGGAGTGCATGCGAGGAACTAGCGATGTACGCATTTTGGATCACCTTGTATATATGTATTATTGTTCATGATTTGGTTTAATGAAAACCAGACATATATAAGCTTAGACCAAAGTTGACGATGAAGACGAACAAAAAGTCGAAACGGAAAAATTACACTTGGAGATATCTATTTAGCAGTCAAAGCGTACGCTTAAAGCGTGCGATGAAACTTGTCGATGGGGCTCAGAGACTTTAACGCAAGGATAGAACCGCAGAGACTATATCTGACGCCCTCATGCGCGTTTTGTCCTGAAAGTACTACGTTTAATCAAGTTCCAGTGATAATGATTTCATGATTCTATTAAATCTGCTCTAATTTTGAACAAGTTGACCACTTTCTGAAACTTTTTTTGATGTACATCTTTGATTCAATAGAACTTAGAGTACAACGATAATAAAGGTTGCGATAGAATGAAGAAAATGAAATTCCCTGACATTTCCCTGTCACATATTGGTAAAATTTCCTGACAATTGAAGCTATGCCAGATGTATAAAAAGATATAATTTCAAATGGTTTTCACGTAAAATCTATTGTTTGAAACGTCAAACCCATTCTAGAGAGCTAAGAAAGGCGACTTGGCAATTTATCCCTGACATTTTCGTCATTTTCCCTGACATTTTCCGGTATTCTCTGACTGGCTATCCTGTTTCCATTCCCTACATTCTCTGAATGCAGGGTTGCCACAGAATTTAGTAAATGAAATTCCCTAACAATTCCCTGATTTCCCAGACACATTTTAGTGGAAATCCCTGACAATTGAGGATGTAACGGATGTTTAAGAAGGCATGCTTGAAAATAGTCTTCAGGTAAAATTTGTTATTCGAAACCTCAAACCCATTCTAGAAAGCAAATGAAGGTGATTTAACAAATTTTCCCTGACATTTCCATCATTTTCTCTGACATTTCCCGCTATTCCCTGACTTTTTAAAATTCCCTGACATTTCCCGGTTTTCCCTGACTGTGGCAACCCTATGAATGTTTCTAGAGGTGGAGACCATGCGGAAGGACAGAGGAGGCGAGAGAGATTGACGGAAAGAAAAGAAGCAATTCTTATTTGCCTGATAAAGCTGGAAATGGACGGAACCCTTCAGACGTCATTTAGCGACACTTCCAGGAAACGATCTCCTGGGAGATGGAGACGAGAATCGAATCCAACAGCGTCGGGAGTACAATTTAGGCACACAATATGAGGGAAGCGTCACTTGTTAAGTAGGTGACGGGTCCGGTCAATATCTGGGCCAGAGCCGCGACATATCATAAGTCATTCTTGGTGCAATTAACTGTGTCGCGGGAAATTCGAGCGGGCCGGGAAAATTTTGAGCAGTCACGATTTGAAGAGTTCCGAGAAAAAAACGGAAAGTAGAGCGCGGACCAGCGCGGACGCGGGGGTCAAGAACCACAAGTGCGCGGCGTTGTCGTTACCGTCCTCCTCAGTGACCATTTTCCAAGTTGGTAACACTGTTTCCTCCACTTGAATCCGTTAAAAATATTCAAAACAGGCCTCACTAAGAATCGATTGTTTTGCATACATTTAAATGGAGGAAAATGAACGTTACCAACTTTCAAGAATTGCCACTGCCTCTTTCTTTATCGACGCGACGCCGACACACCAGTACTGTCGTGCTGAGGGAAAACGCCGTGCGAGCCTTCAGACGTTGCCAAATTTCCTATAACAAATCACTCATTTTCAAGAAAAGTTGTGAATATTTTTCTTCCAATTTCTAGGGTAATTTTGCTTGTAATTTGATCTAAAAAGTTTGAAAATTTCAAGGAAAAATATCGACATTTTTCCTCAAAAATAAACATTTTAATCTGCGAAAATTTGGCAACTCTCGTAAGTTCATACGGCGTCCTTCCTTAGCAAGGCAGAATAAGTCCATCATTAAGGTGGATCTTTAGCTTTTTTAAGGGATTTCTTGGGGGCAATCGGCAAATCAGTCTGTAGATCAATCGTTGACAAATAATCGTGCCAAAAATGACCTTCCAAAATCTTAAAATAAAGTCAAAATTACTGGTCCCATTTTGCAACCGATTTTTGACTATGTTATGGGACTTCGAAAGATGATTTTTGGCACGACGTTAAACAATAATTTATCTCCAGATTGAAATTTCGATTTTCCAAAATAATCCACCTAAAGGGAAAATTTTGCGCAAAAGCTGAATGGAATCCACCTTAAAAGCGGACAACGGTTAGAATCGAAGTCTCTTTCCGGTCTGTGTGTTCAATTAAAAGACGATTAAATTCAAGGTGTCTAGAATTCTTGACCGAGCTCATGCCATGATTTTCTCTTGATTTTCAAGAGCTCATTTCTGGATGAGAAACAAAAGTTTTTCCCACTTTCCCAGGATTCTCTTTCTCTCGAAAAAAAACTAAATAATTCCAAGTTCCATGGTGAGTATGGATTTTTTTCATCTTCCATCCGATTCCTTGGCACACATTGGAATTTTTAATTTTAAAACGCTACCAAAGTTCATATTATCCGGTCGACATAAACTTCTCTACCATTCAGACGATTTGAAGATTCTTGATTCAGGCTGCTATTTGATGGCGGCTTGTGTGCAAGAACATGACCTTAACATGGTCGCTAAGCGGTAGAAGAAGAGATTCCCGGTCCCTGGAACAGACTGATTCCCCGATTTCTTCTAAAATGTTTCGTTCTCTGATGAATCCCCAGTTTCTCGGGGTTCCTCAGCCCTAGACACCGAGTAAATTGAACAGGAAGAAGAAATTAAGATCTCCTCATTCCTGGTGCGAGAGAAGGCAGGACTCGTGGGTTAGAAAGCATTTAAAAGTGCGCTGGAAGTGACCTTGGGGCTGACCGCGGCATTGCCTTCTCTCTGGATGCCATCGAGCATGGACCGGGGACCGCGCTGGCTCTGGCTCTGGTGCATTGGCGTTCGGCCATTGTTCCCTCCGTGGTACAGGCACAGGCTACAGGGTGACGACGGCGAGAGCCGATGCTGTGGAAGAGCGGGCGGGGAGGGGGAGGGGGCTAGGAGATCCATGTACCGATCTCTGTCTGCTGCCTTGTCAGCTTTTCTCCTTGAGTTTTCTTCCGTTGGATGCGGCCGGAGTCATACTTCTGTAAAGCATCTGTTGCTGCACCCACAAAGACGGTTGAAAATCTCACGGGTTGAGAAAAGAGGTAACAAGATCAAACGCCAAGCTTTTTAGTCCGAGGTTAACGCGGGTACTACCCCTTGTCGGACACGATGAAGGTCGGACGCCATCGATATGTTATCGCACACGATGGTATCAGCGGTGACGCATGTGGAGAAAGCTGTGTCAATGTATTTTATGAGACCCAGGAGAGAGGAAGTATACTGTTTAAAGCTGTAGATCATTCTTATTCGTTCTTTCCCGAGAGTGGCCTTTTTGTAAGTACTGGACGTATACGTATATATTTGTAGTATGAACACATCATGGTACACGGTGAAAATTTCCCTTAAATTTCACGTTTCCTCGACTATTTTTTCAAGGTTTTTCAAAAGAAAGAAAGAAAGAAAGAAAAAAAAAATCTGTATTTTTTGGTGGCTGCCTCAAGTTGTTGGGTATCAATGGAATATTCACGAGTGGGTTGGGA